AACTTTCAGATGTGGAACCCAACCTTTTCCTGAGGCCTTTCCTTGAAGTTGTGCGCTCTGAAGATACCACTGGGCCCATCACCGGCCTCGCCCTTACCTCTGTAAACAAGTTCCTCTCATATGGCCTTATAGGTAAGAAATGTCTGCTTTCCCCGATCTTTTTCATTTTTTTTTAAAAGCCTAATTCAAAGAGTTCCTAATCTAAAATTTAAAGTAAAAGAAGAAGAAGAGAAAACAGTCGGATTCCTGGAGGACCTTGCTTGATTAATACAATCAATGATGGTTAAACAGCAGAATGCTGCTAGCTGCTAAGTGCCAACAATGTGAGGCACAAATTATATTTATATTTTCCTACAATGCATATTAAAAAGTAAAAAAAAACAAAACAAAAAAAAGCTGACTACTATAGACAGGGGGGGGATTTACCATTAGGCCGTTCCTGGGGGCCCCATAAAACTCTGTTTACATGTATGATTAATACAACTATTCCTTATTTGTGCACATTAATTATGTTTTTGATGAAAATCTTTTCTCCAAGATGCCATCAGAACGCTTATAATATTAAGTGTCTCAGCCCCCCCTTCAGTGTCCACCATATTGGATCAGTCCATTTGCTGCACATGTTCAGAAAGGTCCAAACAGACAGCAGCAAACCATGTGAACACAAACAGTGCGAAGAGCAGTGTTGCCAACTTAGAGCTTTTGTTGCTATATTTAGTGACTTTTCAGACCCCTCTAGCACTTTGATTACAAAAAAGCTCCGAGCGCCAAATCTAGCGACTTTTTTCTGCTAGTGGAGACTTTGGAGACAACATCTAAAAGCAGCGAACTCTGCTCTCCAGAGCCAGTAGATTGGTAACCCCGCCTCCTGCTCTCCTCTATCTTGTCTGCTGTCATGATTCATGCAGCTATTATTTCATCCAAATGAAAAATGGAGAACAGATGAGCACAGGGTTTCCACAGGTACTTAAAAATCATTAAGTCATTCAATAATAATTTTTTTTAAATGAAGGTCTTAATTTGCAGTAAAATTCATTAAATGTGATTATCGTGGCATTTAAAATGCTTTATTTAAAAAAAAAAATTATATAAACAAAAAATTTCATCAGATACATCAGATATAAATGGTTCGGTGTGTTTAAAAGGAACTGCTTCCAGTTGATCGTAGAGCCGTATGTTCGTAAAAGAGGCTTGAGGCGGAGAAAAAGCTAGAGAATTGGAAAATGCAAATTTCAACTAAAGTTGCTGGAAAACGAGGAATTCAGGACATGGCTGCAGCCTGTCGACCGTAAAGATAATGAAGGACTTTGAAGTGTTTTTATATATATATTAGGGCTGTCAAGCGATTAAAATTTTTAATCTAATTAATCACAAGGTTTCCTGAATTAATTTCGATTAATCACTAGCCTAATTATTATTGAAAAATACACATTTTCTGTGTGCTGTTTTCAAAACAGAAAGATAAACAAGATGGGTATTACATTTAGTATTTATTAATGACAAATCCAAAAAAAGAATTTAATTCTCAACAATTTTGGCAACTTAGCCATTGCTTTTTTTTTTTTTTTAGAAATTTTTTTTTTTTAAATTTTTTAGGATGGGTGAATGGAACTTTTTTCATTTAAAACAAACAACTTGACTTTTAAACAATTACATGAGGTCATTTTACCTATTATTTATTCATCTTTTAGCCAGTTGTTAAGGCAAACTAACTGGTTAACATTTTCTGAATGCAAAGCGGACCGTTTTTTCTGAACAATATGACCAGCGACAGAAAAGAGTCGTTCGCAGGGAACAGTGGATGCAGGAGTTGCTAGATATTTGCGGGCAAGCCGTGCCAGCTTGTCATGTGCTCCTGAATGAGCAGCCCACCACTGCATAGGGCAGTCCTCCATACTTATGCTTGGCTCTGCCCTATACCTGTGTATGTCTTTGTCAGGTTGCACCTCTTCATCTGACTCTGAATCTGAGCCCATCTGTAGAAGATGAATTTTCTTCGTGGGTGGTCCATCTTGAGAAGTCAGCAGAGACCTTCTGGGTGAATGTTCATTAAGCATGCCTCCAAGTGAGGTCCACACCTCTTCCCTTTCACACTTGGGCAGACTCTTCAAGTCTTTAAAACGTGGATCCAGAGCCGTTGCAAGCTTGAGCCATGCATTGTTAGTATTTTCTTGGCGGGAGGCAAGGTCTTGCATGAAGATTGTCTTAAAGCTCACCACATATGCAGGGTCCTCTTCAGAGACCTTCATCACCTGACGCAGGTGGCGGAGAGCAGGCAGTACTACTGAGCAGGAGATATAGGCCTCCCCACCCAGAATCTCAGTTACATACCTGCAGTAAAATAACACACACAAACACACTCATAACATATTTGAACACCAGTTGGTATCCTGGTAAATCAGTTAAACATTTAATAGGATCAGTTTGATCAGTTCAATTTAATTTTCAATTTGCACATTATATGTGAATTCCTTACCTGCAGGGCTCTAGAAGCTTGCTCAGTTTCTGCAGTTTGTCCCATTCTGGTGGCGTCAGCATAACCAGTTTGTGGCGTTGTTGGTCCAGGGTTGCTTTAATTGCTGCTTGATTGCGGTTCAGGCGCTTGATCATTTCCAGCGTGGAATTCCACCGCGTTGGCACGTCTTGGATCAGTGGCTCCTGCTGCTGTCCCAGGGCTGCTTGCTGTGCTTTAAGCTCCATGCTGTTGGCTGCGCTGTGTCTAAAGTGACCCACAATTTTGCGACACTTGGCCAGTACATTTGTAAATCCACTATCGGAGAGGCTCACGTTGATACTTCTCTGTAGCATGTGAGCGATGCAGGGCATATGCTCATATGGCAGCAGTTTAGCCGCAGCTGTCATATTGCGTGCACTGTCCATCCCTATAGTTGTGATTTTTTCTTCAATTTTCCACTTGTGTGCCACGGTTTGAAACTGTTGAGCGCATGCCTCTGCGAAGTGACGCTCTTCTGATTTAATAACAGTTAAAGCGAACGACTTCAGTTCCCAGGTTTTAGTGATGTGAGGCGCCGTCACACCCAGATAATTATTGTTACTCACGGAGGTCCAGTGGTCTCCTGTCAAAGCAACATGTTCCGCTGAAGCCAAATCGTCCTCCTTCGTTTTCTTTTTAGTCTCATAAAGTTGGTTGATTTTAGTCATCACTGTGCCTCTCGATGGTGGCTTGTAGAAAGCATCTAAAGTTGCGACTCTCAAAACTTCTGCGAGGCCCGTGTCCTCGACAATATTAATTGGTCTACAGTCCTTGGCTATCCATCTGGCAATTTTGTCTGTCAGCTTCTCAGGAGTAGACTTACTTAACCCTGCGTTCGGTGAGGGTGGTCTGACGCGTGCCAGTCGGAACACCTGAAGTTGAAGCCCCAACAAAGGAATGCTTGGCATTAAGATGATATTTAAGGCTCGAGGTGCTTCGGTGAAACGAAAAGTCTTTCTTGCAATGTGAGCAAACCACAACATGTTTATTTATGGTCCCGTCTTTGTTTTTTTTATACTTGAACTGTCCATCCAACGGGCCAACGGGTTCTTCTGAATCCTCCATCTCGCTCATGTCTTATATATGAGTCATGCATTCTTGTTGATGCCATTAAAATTATTTCTAAGAACATTCAAATAATTAAATTAGAGTTTCTTTTTCCTGTTTAAATCCTGAAGCAGATCATGGCTTGTCTACAGTCAAAAGAAGGACTGGGTTATTTACTTTTGCCGTCGCTTTTTTGGAAACACCGGAAACTACAAGAAAAGGGACAAGGAGAGAGGGACAAAACAATAATAATAATGATAGAACAAATAATGGATGTCTATTCTATTAACTATTCTATTAACATTTCTCTATCTGTTTAATGGGTGTTTTATGTGTTGTCTTTTCAATTCAGAGGGCCCCCTGTCTGTCTTTGCCTAGGGCCCCAAATTTCCTAAGTCCGCCCCTGGCTATAGAATAAGGAAAGAATGCCATGTGATTTAAAGAAAAAAGATTTTATTCAACATTTGTGACATTGACAACATTCATTCTAAACATCCACCTGTGACCTCAGTCTACAAGTCAAAGCTCTCGTCTGTACTTTGGGTTTTCATTCTTCAGCTACATCAGAGTTACGGCCTTTTTTGGAGACCAAAATTACAACAAAATAAAACTATATTTTAGTTTGAAAGATTCTCCCACAGTGAATAGTGAATTTCTCCCAAGAATCGAGCCACATGAGGACATTCCCGAAAGATGTGGAAGTGGTTTGCTAATGTATGTCCATGCAGCCTCCAACAGCTGGTCTGTTGAGGATATGAAGTACTTTGTGTCGAGGAAGAAAAATAAGGGCTCATATTACCTCCAGGACACTTGCTGCAGACACTCTGCCCTGCACCATTCCTTATTATTGTTGGACTCTTCTCTCTTTCTTCCTTTTATATAAAATGGTTTTTTGTATGTCCCCTTAAAGAAAAAGTCCGGCCAGCAAGGAATAAGCAATGGATCATTATTTATACTTAAAACTAATACGTTTGCCATGATTTAATAAATTTAGCGTTAATCAGTAAAAAAATAAAAATTATCATTTTCATTGAAATCACTGAGTCTGGGAGCGGCCATTTTTGCCCAAATATAGTAACCCCTCCCTCCTGCCATCTTCCAGAGGTGACGTCACGGTGCGGTAAGCCTAGTGCCATTCTCCCCGCTTTACAAGCAAAATCAATGGGAACTACTAGACACATCTGCAATTAACAACAATTATTGAAGATTTCCAGAGGACTTCACCATTGAAATTCCTGATCCTCCACGGACGGGTTTGTCGTTGGATTGTCAACTTGAAGAGGGAGGATTTGCCATCGAACTTCTGGCCAGAGAAAAAACCCGTAATGTGTAGCCAACATTTGGAAGAAGAATGTTTTCAAGATGACTTGGATAATAGCGCGTTGTGACAAACACCAGATACAGCACTGGGACTTGATCAACAGCCGATACCGAACCGTGACGTCACAAACCAGTAGGTGGCAGTAGATGCCTCCAGTAAAGCACATTCAAATGAAAATTACTCTGAATTAAAAACACTTATCATTTATTGAACAGTAGGTAATAATTTCATATTTAAAGGACTTTCAGAAGTTTGAATTCTGAATATGAGCGGACTTCTCCTTTAAGTCCTGTGGTCTTATGGAATTTGGTGATTATTTTTGTAGTGTACACATCTAGTGTTGAGAAGAATCTCTGCGTTGTAGGAATCCTTACAAGTTTACATAGAGAGGCTGAAGTTTGAGATCTGATCCTGCTGGCCTTTTTTTTAACTACACATAATACTGCATTCCCAGAATGTTGACTGGGTTCTTGTTGGGGCTTGGAGTTGATTACGTTTGTGATTTTATTTTGTCCACAATGGCCCGCTGGTCCCCTACAATTCCATATTAAACATCAATATTTGTACTTAAATATTCTTTCTGTCATAATTTGTGGACATTAAGATCTAAAGAGAAGCGCCACCTCCTGGCCAGACCCTGTAATTTAGTGAAAGGATGGAGTGAGAGTAAAAAAATATGCATGACGGGGCCATTGCAGTGGCTGGTAGTTGGAGGGGATTCTGCTGGGTGTTGCAGGGTAGTTGCTATTCGGCTGGCGTTTAGCAAGGAAGCGCCATTTTGAATGGCTGCTACTGTAGTTGAAGAATGATTTTTTTTTTTTTATGAGTTAAGGGCTGGTTATACTCCCCGCAGCAGTGTGTCGCAGTGAATTTGTCGCAGGTAGGACGCAGATATTTTAGATTTTTCCCCAATTTTGAAGCGTGTTCTGTGCTATGTTATTCCACGCCACAACGCAAGAGGGACAATACGGAAACTAGCTGAGGGTCTAGATACAGCTGAGGCCCTGAGGAAGTGGGGGCAAGTTTGTGCGACAACATAGGGACATGAGGGCCAAAAAGAGCGGGGATCCAGGTGGAAAAAGTGTCCCAGCGTTCTCGCGCACCTCGCTCCTCTAGCTGGTCTCTTCTAGCACTTCTCTGCGTTCACGGCGAGAAACACTCAGACGGCCTGGTTTCTGAGTATAAATCGTTTGTTTATAAATTTATTCAGCAGCTCCCGGTTGTAAAAAACAAAAACAAACCAAAAAAACCTGGCTTTGGTTGCCATGGTTAAAATAACAGAACGACAACAATCCTTCCACTGACTCACCGCGTTTTTTTAAATCTGAAATCCTTTCAATGATGAGCTTGTAAAGCAAGTCACTGTATTAGTTTTACACAGTTACTTAAATTTCAATCAGATCAAATTCAAACCCAAAGGCATGTGGAGAAGGAAAGACTCCCTGAACTGGAAGAATCCCTGAGGGATTTGGGTGGATCCAGGGACGCCGGCGCCATCGTTGGGTCTGCCACATTAGGTATAGCTTTGTGACTCGTACAGTAAAAATCCTCCACGTTGACTTGAAACAAGCAGGCAGATAGAAGCTCCTCCTATTTGATGATGTACTAAAGCGGGTGAGGTGCTGCCCCCCGTTGGCCAGTTACTGGAACAAACAGCGTGATGAAGCAGAAAAGACGCTGGAAGCACGTTTAGCTTCAATGCACCATTTGGCATAAATCTTTCACGTTGAATCGTTTTCTTTGCTCCACTTGGCCAGTTTCCTTTTGCAGATGAATTCAAACATGTAAGACTGCGGCTAAATGTTGTTTGAAACAGAAATAATTCAGAAAAGGCTGAATTACTGGGAACATTCCTCCAGTGAGCTCTCATCTCCAGAAAGTCCTTCCTTCCAGTAAGGTGGGTTTTCTTAGGGTACATTTCTACATTTTTATGAAAAGAAAACCCGATTACAGAATATCCTTTAGGAAACTTTCTGTGTGGTGAAGTAATGTCAGGAATCTATCTTTCCGTGTGCAGTGGTCCTGTTGCTGTTGGACCATCAGGACTGAATGTCCTCTCTAGCTTTATCATGGAAACGTAGCCCAGTGTCTGCCAGTTGCTTTGTTAAGTGTGAAACAAGCGTGAATAAACAGATGTTGTTTGAATAAAGTCAGTGTTCCTGCCTGTCCAAACAGCTGCAGTTCAAATGACGCAGCAGTTGAAAAAGCTCGCATAGAATTCAGCTTGAATGGGTGTTATTTCTGATCATTAATCGGACAGATCTGAGGGAAAGCATCATATCTGTTATTAATTCAAATTAAAGCAACCAGATAAAAAATGCTTCTAAAAAGAAAAAACTTAAATTACAACTTTAATAAGCCCAGTAGGATCTACTGAAAAAATCCTAAACGGAGCATAAGAATAATTTAAAAAGAAAAAATAAGGGCTCGTGTTCCCTCTAGGACACTTGCTGCAGACCACACTCTGGGAGGGAGGGAGGGAAGGAAGGAAGCGAGGAAGAAGGAGCGAAGGAAGGAAGGAGCGAGCAAAGGAATCGAGGAAGAAGGAGCGAAGGAAGGAAGGAGCGAGCAAAGGAAGGGAGGAAGGAAGGAGTGAAGGAAGAGAGGAAGGAAGGAGTGAAGGAAGAGAGGAAGGAAGGAGTGAAGGAAGAGAGGAAGTAGCGAAGGAAAGGAGGAAGGAAGGAGCGAAGGAAGGGAGGTAGGAGCGAAGGAAGGGAGGAAGGAGCAAAGGAAGGGAAGAGCGAGTGAAAGAAGGGAGGAAGGAGCGAGTGAAGGAAGGGAGGAAGGAGCGATAGAAGGGAGGAAGGAGCGAAGGAAGGGAGGAAGGAGCGAGTGAAGGAAGGGAGGAAGGAGCGATAGAAGGGAGGAAGGAGCGATAGAAGGGAGGAA